TTTTATAATTTTAGTTCTTGTGAGCTTAAATAATTTAAATAATATAAATACTATAATTAAATAATCCCCATTTTACGGACAACTGATATTAATTGTTGTAAGCATTAAAGACATGCCAAAAGAGATTGCTTCTGATGTCACAGGTACCACCTCCATTTCTCTTGATTTGGAATACCCTTTGAAAGTTTTTTTTTGTAATCTTTTGAAAATGCCACCAAATATAAAGCTTGGCATTCAGAAAATATGTGACAGAATATAGGAAGCAATATTCACTTGGGTATTTTTCTTTCTTTAAAAAAAGTGTTCCAGATATTTCATGCTTTGCATAGCTGAGCCAATTGTCCCTGGGTTGATGCAAAGGCTGCAGCTCCTATTGTTGCCAATTGTATTGCTGTGACAAGCATGTAGTCATAGCAATGTCCCAAGCTAAGCTGTATTCAGTCTTCAAGTAGATAAAAGGCTTAATTGGACAAAGAAATAAAAATAGTGTTCTATCTCTTTTATGCAGAAGTTTCATGACCTGTTTGTCAGTTAAATATTTGTTATCCTGCAGAAAATTGTTAGATGGAAATAGTTTTCAAGTTCCAGAGTTATTTCATTGCTATTAATTTACAGTTACACTAGTGTTACCACACAGTAGATTTGGGATACAAGTTCTATTTCTTGGAAGTGTTTTTTTTTTCTTTCTTTCTGATGCCAGGCCATTCCTTTTGAACCAAGTTAGCAAGATTGGTACCTTAAAGGGAATATGTAGAGCTGGGGTACCTTTTCTAAAAGGAGGAGTCGTTGTGTTTTGGAGTCTAGAGCAGTGTTTAGCCAAATATATTATAAATAAGGAACAGGAAGGGAGGGAGGGAGGGAGGGAGGACAAAGTTTTGGGCATAGATAGCAGCTGTGAATTCTGTTGCATTCTGCTGTGTTGTGATTATTTAGTATGCTATCTTTCTTTCTATAGGAGACTCAAGGTGACTTATAATGAGAGATGGGGACAACTCACCATTTTGGCAAGTTGTCCTGCTTGGTGAGTTGTCAAAAGTTGATGAATCACAAAGCACAATGTTGCCCCCATGAAGTGATGAATAATGAAGTTATTTGTCGATTTGTGGGGGGGGGTATAAAAATGCACCCACTGCCCCCTTCCTATTATATAAAAAAAAACCCCACACCATTCTGCCTACTGGCCGCAGATCATCTGTGGCTGCCAATCAGCTGCCCTCACCCCTTCCTCTCCCTATCTTAGCCTCCACCCCACCCCACCAACACCCCCTACCTTAATCTCTGCTGCCAAGGTCTCCTTCTGGCCTCCCAGCCATGGCATGTAAAAAGGGGACTGGCTGCCCTTTACAATGATGGCAGCTGTGGCTTCATTTAGAGTAGGGAAGCTGCAGCTGCCATCTTTGCAAAGGACAGCCTGGATTCCCTTGAGTCAAAAGCCATTCTTCAGATTGACTGTTGTCTGGGGCTGTGCTCCCAAAGGGGCTGTGCTCACTAAAGAGGAAAAGGGCATGGTCGAAATGCCTGACTGGATTCTTTTTACATTTCAGTTTTTTTATTTATTACAATAGTCCTACAGAATAGAATGAATGTTGTAATTATATGAATTCCCAACCCAAACACAGACACACACATTTAAATGTATGTTATATGGCATCGCATTGGAACCAACCTGACTCTAAAATGGCTTTCAAAATAGGTAATATATTTGAGGTGTTGTTTTGCTGCTTCTCACCTCCATCCCCCGAGTTTCCATGGCTGAGCAGAGATTTGAACCCAGGTCTCCTGAGTCCTAGTCTGTCACTCTGTTCATTATACCACACTGGACATCTCAACATAATTAAATGAGGCATGATAAATAAAAGGTTTGTAAAATATAAAATATTATTCTTCCTGGCTGAAATCCTGTTGGAGCAACTACACCTCCAGAAGGCTGATGACATCAGGAGCAGAGATTGCTTTTCAGAAATTGACACACATTATTCTGTGCCGTAGTTTCTATGACTCCCTTGTATTCATTCTGTGGAAGGCACAGGAGTGGCAGTTAACTAGATAGCTGTATCTAGGCTGGAAGACTTCAAAACGTGGTGGGAGTGCAATATGACTATCTTACAAAGAATTCCCTGGAATTCTAAAACTTGAAGGTTTCAGGCTAGTCCAGGCTTCCCTGTACCTAATGCACTGTGCAAGAGATGCTCTTATTCCGGGGGAACTGTCTGTCCAGTGAAGACAATTTACATAACCTTAATATTAAGGTTAAGCCATATTGGATCCTTTTAAGGAGAAAGGTGTAAAACATTTTAAATAAATAAACAATCAGTTTCACGTTCATTGTTAATAGGAACTCCCTGTTCTCCCTCAGGTTCAGCATAGTAACATTTGAATTCATGCATACTGAACGTTAGGGTATGTTTTGCCTTCAGTCACAGGCATTGAAAACTAAGACCCTCCATGTCTTGGTACACTCCAGTTTCTAGAAGCCTGAGCCAGTGTAAAAGATAATTGGATTTGTAATTTAATGCAACAGGGAATATTGAAGGTTTCCAACACATGCTATATCCTGATTCAATACATGGCATCACTCTATAATCTCACTGTGACAGACAGGCCAGAAACCACACCAGTCCATCACAATGGAACACTGATTCAGTAGCCAATGGTTGTGCAGGAGGGCGGAACCAAGGAATATAAAAAGAGAATGGAGGACATTTATAATCAGTTAGAGTTTTGGTTAGACAGACGTTAGGGGTTTCAGTTAGTGATGATATAGGACAGTTAGTTAGGAGTTAGGGAAAGTGTTAGGTAGTTGGAAGGATTGTTTTGGAAAGAAACCCTTAGAAAGAAACGTATAAGAGAACTGAATGCAGTGAGACATTCATTTCCATTCTAAACCTACCTACCAGACCACACCCATGAAAGAACAGCTGGCATCTTCATGCAGTTCAGATTATGTCTTTAAAACCTTGATAATTTAATGAATACATTACAAAAGTCTCTGAAACTAGCAGAAAATTTACAATACCAACAAATAAGCAAAAAGTTTGGTATGATAAAAAGGCTAGGGAAAGATCATTCAATCCTGGAGAAGAAGTCCTGATGTTAAGACCAATAAAAGGAAATAAGTTACAGTTAAATTGTGCAGGACTTTTTAAAATTATAGAAAAACTGAATGAGATAAATTATATAATTCAAGAAAAGGGAGAAGAGGGTAGGAGAGTAGTTCATGTTAACATAATAAAACCACTTACATCAAAGATAGAAGTAATCAACAATTGGCCTAGACCTACATCAAAGAAAATAGATTGTTCTTGGGGTTGGTTGGCTATTACAGAAGGTTTGTCCAAAACCTCAGTGAAATAGCAGCCCCTTTGTCAGACTTAACCCATAAGAAAAAAACAGATAAGCTCTTATAGTCAAGAGAATGTGAGAGGCCTTTGAGAGTTTGAAAACAGCACCAATGACCGGGCCTGTTTTGAAAGCACCAGACTTCCAGCCAGTCTTCACCATCTACATAGGTGTCTCCAACATTGGGACAGGAGCAGCATTATGCTAGGAAGATGACAATGGAGACCTTCATCCCATAATGTTCCTGAACAAGAAGCTGCAAGCAGGAGAACACCACTTATCTACCATAGAACGTGAGTGCTTGGCAATAGTTTGGACGTTGCAGAAACTTAAACCATACATATGGGGGAGACATTTTGTTCTTTGTACTGATCATTCTTCATTGTTATGGCTACGGACTATTAAAGCAAATAATAATAAACTGATGTGGTGGGCACTGTTATTGCAAGACTTTGAGTCTGAAATTACAAGCTTCAAAGGGAGTCAAAATGCAGTGGCAGATGCATTATCCAAAAGAACAGAAGATTGAAGAAAGAACAACAAAAGTCTGTATTAAAATGTAAAAGAAAAAAAGATATGGAAAATGTTATAATTGCATGTAATAAAATTGGAAAAGAATTGAAAAATAATTAAAAATGTGTGTTATAGAGTATAAGTAATGTTAAATATGTAATGATATAAATAATAAAAATGGTGATACATATAATGAAAAGTTAAAGAAGAAAAAATATTAATAAGTTTAAAAGAGGTAATAGAGAAAATGTAAAAGGATAAAATGTATACCTGTTCAATGTTTAAAGAAGATTTGTATATTAAAAAAAAAGTTCTCTCATATGTTGTACATGAGGGTGACTCACTGTAGAGTTTCCCCATGATACAAACTTTTCCAGGAGGGGAGATATGTGACGGACAGGCCAGAAACCAAACCTGTCCATCACAATGGAACACTGATTCAGTAGCCAATGGTTGTGCAGGAGGGCGGAACCAAGGAATATAAGAAGAGAATGGAGGGCAGGTATAATCAGTTAGAATTTTGGTTAGCCAGGAGTTAAGGATTTCAGTTAGTGATGATATAGGATAGTTAGTTAGGAGTTAGGGAAAGAGTTAGGTAGTTGGAAGAATTGTTTTGGAAAGAAACCCTTGAAAAGAAATATGTAAGAGAACTGAATGCAATGAGAACTATAAGATATAAATAAATTGTTTTAAAGTGATTGAAATTAAATACAAAGTAACCAGCATATTTACAAGTTAAATGAATATCAAATACAATACCATCTATGATTTCCTTGAGTCTTAAATATGTTAATCTGTTAATAAACAGCATTATATTTGACATGGCTGATTCTGTGGTCCTAATTGGTAATTGAGGAAGGATTTCCTTTGGTGGCAGCAGAAGTGGAGACAAGAGAAATTGGCATGTCTGAAAATTTTAAATTTATGATTTGTTGAGCTTGATGAATCAAAACAAATCACCATTTTTCAGATTCGTGCCCATCTCTTGTCAAAATGCTATGTTGGGCCAGGCCCATCCTTGCCCGATCTGTGATGTTTCTGGATTCTTTCCCCAGCTAGTTATAGTGCTGATATGTTCCTGTTGTCAGGAAACTGACTGTAGTCATGACACTGGTTGTTGATGTAGATCATGGGCTTTGTGACAACTGGCAGCCTAGTTCAGTGGCTGTGGGTGTGAATGCTCATCCACCTTACAGATGATATGAGCCACAATGATCTCAAACATCTTTCCGCTATGTTTCTATGCTAATAGTAGAAGATGCATTGCTCAGCCACAATGATAGTAGCTGGAGTGTTTTGGTTGATAGACAGACAGAGTGGAATGGAGAGAACCAGTAGACTCTGATCATCTCTGGATTCAATCTATGTACAAGGTATGTGAAAGAGTGTACTGAAGCAGGGTGTCACTCTGTACATTGAAGAGACATAGTGAGGAACAAATTAAAACTCTTAAAGGCAGATTAGTTCTCTGCTGTGAGTGACAAATAATAGTCTCAAAATATAAGTTAGAACTGTGGATGTGTTATTATCACCCTTACCAAAATACTCAGGGTGATCTTGAGGTGAAGAAGGAAATCACAGAGTGCCTCCAAAGGAGAAAGTGTTATAGCAGTAGGTGACTTCCTTTTCCCTGTCTCATAGACTGTTCTAATCTGAACAACAGTTGACATTCTTCAATACCTTACATGACTCTGCCCTGGAACAGTTGGTCATGGAACTGACCTGAAGGACCTAAGTGGTCTCCAGCACCTAGTATGAGACATGATGCATTGAATCAGTTGAAAATAGTGGCCACAGTGCCATCAGATTTAATGTATATGTTAGTAAGAAATTGTCAAGGAAATCTGACACCATCACATTTGGTGTCAATAGAGAAAGTTCTCTAAAATGAGAGAAGTAAAAAAAGGAAGTTGAAAAGGAAAGCCAACGGGGTCAAATCTTTCCAGAATGCTCAAGGGCTACTCACACCACATAATTGATTAAAAAACCAATAATAGAAGGTCAGCTAGAAGGGATGCTGTGGGTCAGAAAAGGCAGGATAAGGTCCAGGAGGTCACCAGCCTGGTTAACAAGTAGTGGCAAAAAACTATTAGAGGAAAGAAGGCTTCCTTCAGTAAAATGGCTGTGTGGTCTCACTGTGAGTAAAACAGAACACTAAGACAAGCATCCAATAGCGGATGCGTGAGACCAACAAAGATCTCACGGAGCATATCACTAATAATCTTAAGAGAAATTATATATTTAGGAAGAAAACCCCAAAATGACCAGAAGCTGGAACTCAATTAGAGAGACAATTGTGCTGTTGGATAACAAGAGTGTTAAAGGAGTACTAAAAAGATGAGGACGGTACAGAGTAGCTGCATCATTTCTTGTTAGCTGGAGTGGGTGAGGCGTAGTCCCTGTCAGGAATCATTAACAAAGGAACTAATAATAAAATTGCTGATATTTAGACTCTTATTCTTTTGGTTGCCCTTTTTTGCACCTTTTCTGGTGGGCCTTATTTCAGGGTATGACCCAATCTAGTTGTTGTTGTTGTTGTTGTTAAATCATGTCCGACTCTTCGTGACCCCATGGACCAGAACACGCCAGGTTCTCCTGTCTTCCACTGCCTCTTGGGGTTTGGTCAAACCCCATGTAGTACTCTCTTTTAATTACTGGTACTTTATTTTAATTGCTCTGCTTTAAAGAGAAATATGTGTTACTATCCTCAAAGTCATTAATTGCCTAATCATACATGGCTCTTTTATATATATTTTGCTATAAAACAAAGTTTAATATCAGCTTTCCCTCAACAGTTTTGACTTGAAAAGAAAATCATGGCAGCAAGTCAAGCTGAAGTCTGCAAGGAACGCATTCATTCCTTGCTGTTTGTTTGTTTTTGACACCTATCTGTTATTGCTGTTTCTAGCAAGGCTCAAACTTAAATACAGGTAATAAGAAGGAAGAGAGAGCAGAAAAAAAGATGGCAGAATAGGAAGTGAAATGAGCCTGGAAGATATTTACATTTTATAAATTATGTTTATTTAGTATTTCCTTTGCATGGTCGTTCAGATTTTCTGGATATAAGTACAATAAGCCTTGCTGTCCATAACGGCCTCTTCAGAAGGCGCACAGCTCCCGAAGCGGGGCTATTTTGCCCGCTCGACAGGGAAGAGAGAGGCACTACGAGAGCCAGGGGAGGGCAAGAGCAGAGCTTTTAAAAGGTCTGCTCACCCGAGCGTTGCCCTCTTCAGCAGGGAAAAGTCAGAGGAGTCGGGGCTGCACGGCACGACCACCGTGGTTTCGGTTTTGACTGCGTGCCCGCCGCTTGAAGAGGAGGATCAAATTGCGGGCTGGGCTCATCCCACTACAGTTCCTTTTTTCATTATATTGGGAGTTGGGGGAAAGCCTGAGCAGGCTTCCCTCTGTGTTCTCTCAAAAGGAAAAAAGAAAAGAAAAAAGAGAGTAAAAATGATACTGATAATAATAATAGTAATTTAAAATTACAAGACTGGTGAGCCTTCAGGGAGGGTTAGCAAAGGGGGTCCACAAGCCTTCAGGATATCAGCCAGTTCCCAGGACCCCCTCCCCATTTTGTTTGTTATTTCCCCTTCTCTACGCCCCCCAGTCACCTCTTATAGGGGTGTCAGAGCATTTGGGGGACTTTTGAAGTGGTCCTCCAAATGCAGCGTGGTCAGCTTGTTCATGATTAGGGAGGCTAAATAAAAAAAGAAAGAAAAAGAGGGGGGAAGTATTTATGGTCTTTAGATTAATTATTTTTTTAAAAAAGGAGGAAGAAGCCTCCATTCCTTACATGGAATTTGTTTATGCTTAACTGGATCCAGGTTAGCTGCTGAGCTTAGGGCTGTGGTTGTTGAAGCTGAATATGTTTACAGCTATTGGGAGTGTTAGGAAGTAACATGGGTCCTAAAGTTGATAAAAGTGGGGAAAAGGGGAAGCAGCCTGCTAAGTGCAAAGCCCCACCACCACCATGTTCACCTCCAGTCATTTCCTCATCCGATGAGGATGACTGGCCCGATTATAAGATGATTTGGGAAAAGCTTAGCGTGTTAGAAAGGGAACGGGCACAAAGAGGTGTTACTGACAGTGGGTCAGCAGTGTGCAGGTCCAGAAGGGAGTCAAAATCCCCAAAAAATGACTGAACTTAAGAGGATGGGCGAGCTCATGCTTTTACACATTGCTATTTTAGAAGGAGAACGTTCCTGCCCATCGGGTGCATCTTCAGCTGACAGTATCCTGGTGACACAGCAAAGGGTAGCACGTGGTAATGATCAGTGATGCAGCGGGTAACAGATGACATATTCCACTACTCAGATACAGATGACAGTGGAAGATGGGCAGATGGAAGTGGCCAAGGTCAGGATAACACAACAGGAGCAGAGCAGAGAAGGTGGGGAGGACTCAGCGCCACTGGAGGAGCCTGCATCCACGAGTGCTCTTGCTGTGCTGCCAGGAGTGACGTCACCAGGTGGGGGTTACCATTACGCCACTGTGCCTCCTGAGAGAAGAGCCAGCCTGTGTAAGGGCTGTACCGGGAAAACCCTGAAAAGAGCCACAATTGGCGTGATGGGACATGATTATTATTAAACAATTCTACCTGGAGTAGGCCCACCAAAAACAATAGGACAGAATGTTAGTTGTGACCAAACTGTTAACGCATGGCACAATGGTGTACATTACGTACAGGATCCTTTACTTTCATCAGTCCCATCATTAGCAATCCGGCCAAGTGAGTGGCCACGTCCTAGAATCTTTCTACAAAAGAAAGATTATAGGAATCAGCAGTTTTAGCACTTATGTGATAGACTACATAACTTCTGTTCAGAAGGTCTGAGGTTTAATTCGTACCTTCTCTAGTTAAAGGAAACTCAGATCAGAAATAGATGCCAGTGACAGCCTGCAAGAGGAAAGAGAAATACCTAATCAACATGTGTGTCTCAGCATCAACAACACAAGCTTCTCTTACCTCCAGGATTATGCATTGTTTCATGATTGGTCTTCAGGACCAAAGCATGAGATTCCTTTGAAATCTGATTGCACCAATGCAGGAGGACTATATCAAATATCTCTCTGAAACAATAGCATGCTTCTAACTCTTATGATGGCTATTTTCTGCTTCTGGCCTCAGGTAGTGGCACTGCAAAATGATTTTTGCCTGAGATCATGGAAAGCCTCCATGCATGAGGGTCCTGCTAAACAGCTGCTTCTCAATTGTATGAGGGTGGGCTCCATATCAAAGGAGCCAATTTCCATGGCAGAACAAATGGCCAGGAATGTCAAATATGCATTTTATCCTTTTTATCCTTTATCCTTTTTTACTTCCTTACTTTCTGATTCTCAACTTCCATTGGCCTTTTCCAGCCCACTGGGTAAGGAAGGGGATCATGTCTCTGTTGCTGAGTTTTGAATTTTTCATTAACTTTCCTCAGCTGCACAGTAGAAATACACAGATCCACAGAGAAAAATAGTTTTTAGTTCCCAGATAGTTCACCCTTCTGTCAATAATCCAGAGACATTAGTAGTACAGAAAATAAAAATGTCCCATTTACTTAGAGTTGTGAATATATCAACAATAAACTAATAAAAAACATGACTGCTTTTAAACAAGTCTGCTTCCAATTGGCAGACATTTTTCTGCCAATCTAAATCACCAGTCATTAATAGACTCTCTGAGGGGAAACAAAAACCTCTCAACAGAGAAGTGGAGCTCTCTTTGTATTCCATGCCAGGAGAGAACCACAGTGGTGCCTTGAGTTATGAACTTTATTGGTTCTGGAAGATGGTAGTAACTCAAGTTGGTCATAACTCAAAGCACCATTTCCCATAAGAATACAATGAAACCCCATTAATCCGTTCCGGCCAGGGGGGAAAACCACGGAAAACAAAACAAAACTCAAGACCCATTGGAAAATGTAATGAATCTGTTCCGGCCGGGGAAAAAACCCACCAAAAAACAAACACTGCAAGACCCATCGGAAACGCGATTAATCCATTCTGGCCGGGAAAAAACACACACCGAAAAAACAAACACTGCAACACCCAGCACAGCACAGAAACATAACCCCATCCCTCAGCTCAAACCCATGCTGCAAAAACCTTTACTCACTCAGAAAAGGCATTTTAAAAAGCAGAAAGCAGTACCAGGCAGTCCGAAGCCTCCTCCGAACGCACACTCTCTAACCGCTGGGGCGAAAGAGCTACAGAGAAGCAGCTTCTTCACCGACCAACAGTTAGCAGTGTAAATTCCCCGCCTTTTCCCCCGTCTTTTTTCCGGTCGCTTCTCAAAGCTCCGGTCAAAGAGCTACAGAGAAGCAGCTTCTTCACCAACCAACAGTTAGCAGTGTAAATTCCCCACCTTTTCCCCCATCTTTTTTCCAGTCACTTCTCAAAGCTCCGGTCGCATATCAAAGCAAAATTTTGTGGCCAAAGGTAGTCGTAACTCAAATTGGTCACAAGTCAAGATGTTTGTAAGTTAAGGCACCACTGTATTGGTTAATGCTGGACAGATTGACAGTTACCCGCACCTAGAAAGTTCCCCCCAGTCAAAGAAACTACAGGCAGCATACGAGGTTGTAAAAACTCCAACAGTGTCTTCTATCAGGCAAGACTTGTGGCTTGCTCCAGCTTTCTTTTCAGTTCCTCCATATTTTTCCAACCCCATGCATCATGAGGCCACAGTGTGCCTTTAGTTCTCTTCTTTTTGTGTTACCACCCGAGACTAGCACTCCCTTTTTACCACTGTCTCATGGTAACATCATCTGATGCCAGGTGATGATGTCATTATCTGGCATCAATAATTCAGGTAGGCTCAACCACTGTGGAAAAAACACAGGTAAAGAAATATCCTCATCCACAATTATAATAGGCTGATTAGATGTATAGTAGCTTCATATGCCCATACATCTAAAGGCTAATTATATAAAATAGACTTGGGCTACTACATTCCTTCAGTCTCCTTCCACATCCCTTTTTCTTCAAGGGCAAATTCCAGAGACCACAAAGGGGTTGAAAGAGTGGGTGTATATTGCCCACCTCTAATACAAAGGTGTTGCAGAAATTATGGATCTTTTTTTTCCCCTTAAGGCCAACATGATTACTTTAAATATATACATTGTATGTATTTTCAAGGAGTTTCTTTTATATTACTGCTATCCTCAGTCAGAAAGAAAATAGTCTGTTTGCCTGGACCATATCAGGTTGAAAGTGCTCTAAGGTCAAGGTTATGATTAGAGTTGCCTTTTTGATAATTTGCCATTTAATTAGCATAGGAATTGTGCTGATTTATTTGAAAGATTTTGTCTTCATTTTGTCTTATATTTGCAAGGTGTTGTTTTCCACCCACTTTTCTGTTTTAATGCTGCATGCACTCCTGCAATTTAAGGTCAAATTATTTTCTCATCACCTTGCTGATGCGTGGAATGGAGTTAAAATTTGATTTTAATGTGTTTTTAAAGATATACAATTGTGCTGCTTCTGCTGAGGTTCCCAAGAACATTTAATTCTTTGTGTGCTGCTGTGATGATCAATAATGAAAACCAAATACCTGAATACTATCAAGCTGACTATTCCCTCTTATCCATAAATAGTTAATCAAGATAACTACTATTATTTCTTCATCATACATGCATTTTCCTAACCATGTACCATGTTATTTGAACCATTAAGCACCTAGCAAGTTTTCAAAGCTCTTTACGATCATCTAATTTAATCTCAGATCAGAGCACAACAATTTCAGCTCAGCTTGAAGTAGCATTAAGAGGCATATAAGTTCCATGATCCTGGTGTAATCTTCAGTTCCTTTTGCATGAAGTAGAACACTTACTTAGAGTTAGGTTGGCTTCGGCATCCCCTTTGCCACTCCAGAAAATAATTGCACTCTTGGGTAAGAATGTGTGGGTAGTTCAGCACCGTGCACAGCACACACAATGGTCATGTGTCACGTTGCTGTAACTGCTGCCTCTCACTGCAAATCCATAAAGTATGGAAGGTGTACAATGGTGTAATCGTGTCCAGAAACCTTGATTGGGTTGGGTTCCTTACATGGGGCAAATTTTTCACGATGTGGGTACACTGGGACACTTTACACGAAAACTCATAACTGTGTTTGCTACTCAAAGGGTGATGCTACCCTTTTTCATGGTGCCATTGTTAAATGTGGAGGTTCTAAAAACATTAGTACTTGGTCGACCACAACATGATTTGCCACTGGTCAGTCTTGACTGAGAAATGTCTTTCAATGGAAAATTCAGGTTTTGTGTTCTGGATTTCATCCCTGAGTTAGATTTAACTGAATGTAACCATGCTTTAGTCTCATCAGTATCAGTGTACCATAACTAACAAATGATGAACAACTATCTGTGAATGGCACTGCCCCCACCCAGGGTGGGGGTAGCAAGGAGGTCTTCCTTAGTTAAGGCTCCTGTAACATCAAGACTCCTAAAGCTGCTAGAAGTACATTTTATTAACATAGAGCAGTGGTTCCCAAACTTGGGTCTCCAGATGTTCTTGAACTAAAACTTCTAGAAATGTTGGCCAGCACAGATAGCAGTGAAGGCTTCTGGGAGTTTTAGTCCAAGAACATATGAGGACCCAAGCTTGAGAATCAGTGACATAGAAGAATGGAGTACAATAACAAGTTGGGCATCAGCAGAATCCCCTTCCACCAGGTTACTGGTGGGCTGAGTTAGCTTCATTATCTCCTCCCCAAGTCCAGCCTTTAGGTTCCAGACACTGGGTTTGGGCTATCCACAGATTGTGTGTGGGGCCCAGGCTGTCAATACAGCCCCGAACCACCTGGCTCCCTTCTTGCATAAGGCTTATATAGCTGGCTGCTTATAGGCATCCAATTCTTCCAAGTCCCTCCTGCTCCAGCCACAGATGTTTTATCTGGTGCTTCCTTCTCTTGTGCCTCCATTGGGTCAAGAGCCTGGTGCCTCCCAGTTGATGTGGCCTCCACAATGTTGGCGAAGGTATTGAAATCATTGGAGGGTTGAACAGGGCTTGTTGCATCTACATGCTCTTCCTTTGGCTACCTCTACCTCCATCTAGACACAGGCCCCAATCCAATGGTTCTGTGCCATTAACATGTCCTCCTCCTCCAAGGCACAGATCATGAGCTCCAAGTCCTCTGCCGCTTATACCCACTCCTCTACCTCTGACTCAATAGAGGGCAAAGTAACTTCACCCCTCCTCTTCCTCCTCCTCTATATCAGGCTCCAACCAGCTGGGCCCAGCTTCTGTCTCCTCACCCAGGTGTGGCTTGTCCTCCCTCAGCTTCTCTCTCCCACCCAGAGCCTTCATCTCCCTATCTACATCCTCCTAGTGCCCAGCAGCAGGAATTTGTGGCAGGAGTGTCTCTCTCATGCTATCCCTTTAAGGGCAAGGACACAGTTACCTAAGAATGCACCCAGCCACAACTTGGGTGCTGGTAGTTGTCAACTGGAAATGGTGAGCATGTAAAGCTCCAGTCCTATGAGCACTTGCCCCAGCTAACATAATATAATCATGGGCTAATTCACCCAATATTGGAAATATTGATGAAAACTAAATCTGGGAGATTTGTATTCATATCCTTGAGAATATGAATATGAAGCTCTGCTTCATATGGTCCATTCCCACCCCCCAGGCCCAATCCGGTCTTGCAGCATGCTCATCCACCAGTGGTGACATAGCACCAATCCTTCTGGATTGGACATAGTCCTTCTGGCGCCTCCCCGCCTCTCCCCACAGCTGACCACTCTGGCAAAGAGACGGGAAGACAAATCTCCCTGCTCAGCTGCTGAGTGGTCAACTGAGGGGAGTGCTGGGGAAGCGCCAGAAGGATTATGTTCACAATTGGTGTGATGTCACCACCAAAGGATGTACGCGCTGTGAGGAGCATGGACTAGACTGGTTCTAGGTGCAGGAATGGACCATCCTGGCACCTGTGGTGCCGAGCTTTGTATTCGAATCCCCCGGGATATGTATATGAAGCTCTCATGTCTACTGTAAACCTTTTGGCTCAAATATTCTCAGATAGTTTGTCTGATGAGAAATCTCTGTATTCATTAGACCCTTGATTAAGATATAACTGTGCTACAAGATAACATACATCTAGAACCTCTCTAGAAATTTTGGAAGAATTTGGCTAACCAAATACGTTTGATTTCCTGGAAATATCTCAGAAGATTTTTCTGAGGAGAAACCTCCAACCACCCTTCCAATTTTGTTTTAAGTGAAAGTTAAATAAATCCATTGCTAGCCCTGCTTTATCTATTTACAAGTGAGGATCCATTATTGTCACACAAAAATGTATTATCATTTCTGCTTGTAGCAGCAAGACAAGAGTTGGCCCAAAAATGGAAAGATGGTAAATAACAAACTTTAAATGGCTGGTATAAATTTGTTTGAGACATAGCGCTTGCTGAGAGGCTAACAGAAGAAATCTGAAAGAACTAATGAGAAAACAGGTACTAATGATTTCAATATAATGTTTTTTTGTTTGTTATATTTTGCAACAGGAGGAAGAAAATGGGCAAACCACTCCTTTTTGGAACAACCTATTAGGATGAAATAATGATTCATAATAAAAAGTAATGGGTCATTCTGGGAAGATAATGAATTGTTCTGTCATCAGTGTTATTGTGTTTGTATATTTGTATATTTGTCAGTAGAAGATATACAGCTCTATTGTATTCCTTCACTGTGTAATAAAACTTTTTTTTAAAAAAAGTGAAATATTGGTGGCTGACTTGTCTAGAGTCATCCTTCAGGTTATGGCAAATTGTGAGTTCAAAGAAACTTACCTGTTTCTCCTTTGACAAGGCTCCAATGGAGGAGACTATGTGGCTGACACAGATCTGGAAGCTACCCAATGGGTCTCTGTGGTGTTTTGAAAAGCCAAAAATCTCATTTCTGCTAATGGGAGTCTTCCCCAACTAAAAGCGGTAAGAGGATTAAAGGATGGAAAAGACAAGAATGAGATAAACATTGGGGAGGGGGAGGGGAACCCACTTACAATAGCAGTGTTATTTCTAAGAGAACTTCCTGTGCTCAGAACAATACTCTTTGCTTTCGGCAAAGAATACTTGATTATAACAGGCATCTGGTTATTGTAGACAAAAATGCATTTTGCTGAGCATAGCCATTATTAGCAGTACAAATGCACTCTGAGTGTGTTTGGAACAAAAACTGAAATTTATACAGGATGCTAGCTGTGGCTCAAAGGGATGATGAGAGAAAATCGCAGTTGAGGTTACAAGCTATTTAAGTCACACAGTGGTGATGAAATTTGTGTGTCAGAGTGTGCATGTGAGAAAGTGTTCATATGTAGGAAAGACTCAATCGCATGGCACACCTGCTTCAGGGAAGGGAAGGATCTGTGCCACTTTTGCTGTACACCATTGGATTACTGCTCTGGTGGAAAGTATCAACCAGAGTACAGAATGTCCCTATCACTCAAGCCCTATTCAGGTGTTCAAGAATCTGGCACTGTAGTGTACTAAGAGGGGTGTGCTCAGGTTCGCCCTCTCCATTGTTGCTGAAGAGGAAAGATTCTTGTTTGCATGTGAGCTCTACATGCAAATAAGAACCAGATTTTCCATATGAAAATCTTGTTCATATGAAGAGCTCACAATGAAGCAAGAACTTCTTCACACTTATGGCCACAATAGGTTTTTTTTCTTGTGTATAGTCTTTTCATGTGAGCAATAACCCTAAACAACCCACACTCTTGCTTGCACACAGAGCCCACATGCGAGCAGGACCCTTCCTCTTCAGACTCAACATGGCTCATGTGAAGAAAGTGATCACAGGAGGCACAATGGTGAAACAGACGTCCAACCCATGGCTCTGAAGGCATATGCTGTGACTAACTGAGCTATCTAGGCAGGCTAGCCCTAGAAAATATTGTCAGAAAGTTACAATGGAGATGGGGGCGGGGGGATGGGACAGAGTGAGACACTCTCGTTTAAATATTTTGACAACATTGAAGTCTCTAATACCTGAATGGGGCTAGTGTTATCATTGCATACGTGAGATTTCTCTGGAAGGCAGAACCACATCTTATTAACAGTAATCACCTCTTGAATATTCATGTTGGATGCATACAGCACACCTGTGCGCATGAACCAGCTCTAGGAGTATATTTATGCAGAAAATATCTGTGTTCTGAGCCTTTGAAATTCCTACTTCTCTACCAGTTGATGGTGGTCCATCTCCACATAACAAGCAGGCTACTGACGGTCAGGTAGATGCTTATATACACTTGCTGTCTTGGAGAAATTTCATGAAATGGACACCCCAGTTTCTCTTCCCAGAAACAGGGTGGCGTCTTTCAAGAAGTCATTTCAAGAGCTGCAGCCTGTCATGTGACCAGGCAAACACAGTGATAATGACAGAATAGTAATAAGAATAATTCTATGTTATCAAGTCAATTTTGATTTATGACCATATTCCTTGGGGTCTTCAAGGTATGATGTACTCAGAAGTGGTATATATTTCCCTCTGGGTCTGTGCAGCTTGCCTAAGGCCACTCAGGCCAATTCTTTTCTGCGGAGCAGTGGTTCCCAAACTAGAATCCTCAGATGTTCTTGGACTACACCTTCCAGAACCCCTGGTCAGCACAGCTAGTGGCGAAGGTGTCTGGGAGTTTTTGTCCAAGAACATCTGGGGACGCAAGAATCACTGCCCTGGGTGAATGGTTGTAAATGGAGCTCCCCATGTGTGGTTCTACAAGCCAGGTGCTCTGACATGCTGTCTGTCCTGGAAGAATAGTCCTGGAAAACATTGTTACCTGCATCATGTGGTTTTTATTTTGTAGCTAGCTGAGTTAAGCAAGAATCTGGTGTGGGTGGGCGGGCTGGCACAGCTCTTGTTATGTGCTTAAATTCTCATTTTGCATCGCATTAAATGGTGTATAGAGACATCCACATGCCTTCCAAACCTGAAAGCAAATGTTTAATTATAGATACAATAAAGAAGCACAGCTGCACATGGGCAGAAAATTACTTCTTTTGAAGAGTTTGTCACTAAGATAATCTACATACATTATCTTCTAGGTAACACCTTCCAATTTCGGCAAACAAAACACAAACACAGCACACTACTCTTATAAAGAAAGAAAGAGATACATTTGCCTCTCATGAAACAACATTTGCATTTAGGATTAGTTGGAATTCTACATAGATTGCTTTTAAGTGAAATGCTATGGATATTTTACTTTAAACATGATGTAATGAAACTTCTCCTCTCCCATGCCACACATCCAAATACAAAAGGACATTCTATGACAATACCTGATTCCCCTAAGTTCATATATTAATGAGCCATATGGGGACTTTCTTCTTCGTGTGCCTAAGAGATCAGTTCATTTTTCAAAGGGGTTCTGTTGTCAGAGTGAAAGCCCTGTGGAGTCATCATCAGCCATTTATGTGTTCAGGTACACAGTCTTTGCTTATAACACGTGCTTGTTGGTTAGGCCAGGGATGTGAAAATCTATCCAGCTTCTTTTCAGTTCTGATTTTTCTGAGTCCCACTAGCCTTTCCATCCCATCCAAGTTTCATATCTGGCTGTAAGATGCTTTTCCATTCTGTATTAATTCATGCACATTTGGGCAGGCACTTTTCCTGATATAGGCATCTTTATGCTCCCCCCCCCTTAATGTACTCATTTGTACCAGAGGTTAAAAAGAAAAAATGAAGACCAAATATGAGCTGGATTGACTCCCTAAAGCAGGGGTCAGGAACTTTTTTACCTTTTTTGTTGTTGTTTAGTCGTTTAGTCATGTCCGACTCTTCATGACCCCATGGACCAGAGCATGCCAGGCCCTCTTGTCTTTCACTGCCTCCCAGAGTTGGGTCAAATTCATGTTGGTCGCTTCAATGACACTGTCTAACCATCTCATCCTCTGCCGTCTCCTTCTCCTCTTGCCCTCATACTTTCCCAACATCTGGGTCTTTTCCAGGGAGTCTTCTCTTCTCATGAGATGACCAAAGTATTGGAGCCTCAGCTTCAGGATCTGTCCTTCCAGTGAGCACTGAGGGTTGATTTCCTTTAGAATGGATAAGTTTGTTCTCCTTGCAGTCCAGGAGACTCTCAAGAGCCTCCTCCAGCACCACAATTCAAAAGCATCAATTCTTTGGTGGTCAGCTTTCTTTATGGTCCAACACCTTTTACCCCTCCCCCCAGATTATATACGCCGACATTACCCCACCCCCTCCCAGCACCACCCCTCTGCTCTCGCCACCTGAGGTTGCGCCCCCACCTCTGCCCTTGCTTGGTACCTGAGGCAGCCACCCAAACAGCAAGTCTGGAACTCACACACTTTGGAGGTGAGGAGGACTGGCATTTGCGCTGTGCAGTTCCTCGCCAGGGCTCGCTCTCCCCGCGACGGAATGCCCGCCTACACACAGCATCGTCGGAAATAAAAATGCCTGGGGGTAAAATGCCTGCAGCGACCATCCCCATTACCCCCAGGATTTTCATATTTACCCCATTTGGGGTAATTTACCCATGTTCCCTGACCACTGCCCTAAAGGAATCCACAGGCTTGAATTTGCAAGAGGCTATTGAGGACAGGACATTTTGGAGATTGCTGATTTGTAGGCAACTTAGCGGTAAATAACAAAAAAAAATCATCATCATCATCTGCAATAACAACTTGTTGCAAACATGCATAATCCCTTGTTCAATACATAATAACAAGGACAAAAAGAATCTGTTAGATTTAGTGCGTTGATGCCAAAATGGTTATTTTTCATTGTCCCCCTGCTGAAACAAAAATAAACTTTTAAGAATTGAGCATTAAACCAGATGTAATTTTTACACACATTTCCCATTGAAACTTAGTTATTGTGTAGTCATTAGAAAAGTGTTGGGAGCAGGAGTCATTAGTTATTGGTCACTTATTCCTGCCAAGACCTGGAAAGGGCTAATTTGGTTCACTACTTATTTTGAGAGCATTTCCTCCTGTTTGGGACTTTGTGCTGTACTGTCTCTGCAAAGCCCCATGGTCTATTTGAGAGCAATCGGCCAGGACCATTTTTCTGCTTGTTATGCAGAGAGATTCTAAATGTCATCCTTTGTGATTTGATAAGCCTGCAGTGTATTCAAGCAATACATTCTACTTGGAACACTTATCTATTGACTTCTCGATTGTCAAAGTATCTTACGTTATCAATGTACACCACAGTCTGGATGCATTACGATGAAGACTCTACCACAATGGCTCCCACTTACTCTCTCTGGGCTTACTTATGCAGTGCTAGTCTTCTCAGACTGCTCCTCAGAAGGCTCAAGAGATACCCTCGTGATGTTAAAGTATACTTGATGGAATCTTAAATACTGCTGCAACAAGGAAGCAGATTTCACAATATACATGGTTTTCTCAACACTTGGCTCTGAAACTGGAAAGTCAAAAGGTCAGCCACTCTTGGTGCCCTGATGATCACTGGAACAAAGGTTTAATGTTGCATCAAAACATAAAAGTGTACTGCAGAATTCAGCTTTCAAAGGCCTCCGCTTCGGTTTCTAGGACTTTTACAAGCATAAAGGCCTTTATACTTGCTTAATGATCCAGACTAGCTAAATACACACAGGAGTCCCTCAAT